AACGGGCTAGTCACTTGCTAATCATATTAACATGCTAGTCACTTGTTAATCATGCTAGCAACATGTTAATAATGCCAGCAATATGCTAGTTACAGGCTAATCATGCTAAAAACATGTTATCAACATTTATCTAATCTAAGTTTTTAAACTTCAGGCTTTTGCAACTGCTTTAAACTTTCAGGCTAGGCTTCCTCGAGCCAACCTAAAGTCTGTCTTGACAAACTTTTTAATCTAGTTAATAAACATTCTGCTAAATATTTACCGAATCCATTAGTTGAAGGGTTGTTGTGGCTGTTTATTTGTTGGTAATTTGATGTGTTTGCCATTGAAGCAGAAGCCCCGCCCATCTGGCCAAAGGAAGAGGAAGTGGAGGAAGAAGGGGCGGAGCTGAACCCTCTCATGTTAAACTGAGCTGACTGACTCTTCACAGCCTGACCTGCCATCTGCTGGACAAAGAGAGTATTTGCAACAACAAGAAAAGAGACATTTTGAAAGAAAATTGTATGCTCACCGAGGGTGCATTTATTTGATAAAATATATAAAAAAATGAAATATTGTGAATTAATATTGTGAAATATTATTACAGTTTAAAACAGCTGTTTTCTGTGTGAGTATCTGTTAAACTGTACTGTATTTCTGTGATGCGCAGCTGTATTTTCAGCATCATTCCTCCAGTCTTCAGTGTCACATGATCTTCAGAAATCAGTATAATATGCTGATCTGCTGCTCGAGAAACATTTCTGATTATTATCAATGTTGTGCTGCACAATATTTGTGTGGAAACTGTGATACCATCTAGGCTAAGAAAAAAAAAAGGACTTTTATTTAGCAGTGATGCATTAAATTAATCAAAAGTGCCAGTATATAAATTTAATGTCACAAAAGATTTCTATTTAATTAAATTAGTTAACTGAATATTATTTCATTATTAAATATTTCACACGAATAAATTATATTTTACAATATATTCACATAGAAAAGTTATTTTAAATTGTAATAATATTTCATAATGTTACTGTTTTTACTGTATTTTTGACCAAATAAATGCAGCTTTGATAAGCAGAAGTGATTTCTTTCAAAAACATCAAACAATCTTACTGACCCCAAACAGTATTGTAATAATAATCATAAATATTAATAATAATAATAATAAAATCTTTTGCCTTCTGTGTCTGAATGTTACCCAATCACAATTTAGCAATCATTCATGGCTACAGAACAAATGTTAATGGTTTTATAATCACTAA